CCGCCTGAGGACTGATGAACAGCAAGGTAAACTCCAAGATCCGTGCTGCCTGCTTCCCAAATCTCAAGGGCTTTCGCAGGCACTGGCTCATCGGAGGGGACCGGGCTGTTATCCCGAAACACACGGAGTAGAAAACACACTGTCCTGGCCGGGCGCGGTGGCTCACGCCTGTGATCCCAGCACTTCGGGAAGCCGAGGCGGGCGGATCATGATGAGGTCAAGAGATTGAGACTATCTTGGCAAACATGGTGAAACCACGTCTCTAATGAAAATACAAAAATCAGCCGGCCGTGGTGGCGTGTGCCTGTAACCCCAACTACTTGGAAAGCGGAGGAACCGCTTGAACCCCGAGGGGGCAGAGATTGCAGTGAGCCGAAGTCGCGCCACTGCACTCCAGCCTGGGCAACAGAGCAAGACTCTATCTTTAAAAACAAACAAACAAAAAGTATAGAATTCTAACTTGACTGCTTTTTTTTTTTTTTCAGTACTTTAAGGATGTTACCCCATTGGCTTCTGGCTTGCATAGGTTCTGAATAAAAGTCTTCCGTACAGCCAGGCGTGGTGGCTCACGCCTGTAATCCTAGCACTTTGGGAGGCCGAGGTGGGCACCTGAGGTCACAAGTTCAAGACCAGCCTGACCAACGTGAAGAAACCCCATCTGTACTAAAAATACAAAATTAGCTGGACATGGTGGCACATGCCTGCAGTCCCAGCTACTCGGGAGGCTGAGGCAGGAGAATTGCTTGAACCTGGGAGACTCAGGTTGCAATCAGCCGAGATCACTATTACACTCTAGTCTGGGCAACAAGAGTGAAACTCCGTCTCAAAGAAAAAAAGTCTTCTGTAATTCTTTGTTCTGTCTATTGTGTTTCTGGCTGCCTTCAAGATTTTATTTGTATTATTGGTTTGCCAGAAGTTTGCATATGGTATATCTAGATGTGGGGGTCTCTTTTGCCTAAAATTTGTAGTTTATTATTTACATACAGTAAAATTCACACGTTTTAAGTATGCAGGTTGATACAGCTTGGTAATTATTTATAATTATGTTACCACCACCACAATCAAAATATACAACTGTCCCTGCACCCTATAACATTTCTTGCTGTTTATTTGCAGCCCATCTCCTTCCCCACCTGAGCTCCAGGCAACTGCTAATCTGGTTTCTGTCATTGTAATTTTGCTTCTTCTAGAATTTCATATAAACGCAATCATATAGTACATAGTCTTTTGTATTTTATTATTTCTCTTATAATATTTTTGCCATTCCTTTTTGTGGCTGAATGGTATTCCATAGTATAATTTGTTTATTCATCAGTTGATGGACATTTGGGTTGCTTTCAGTTTTTTATTTTTTATGAACAGTACTGCTGGCCAGGCACGGTGGCTCACACCTGTAATCCCAGCACTTTGGGAGGCTGAGGTGGGCGGATCACTTGAGGTCAGGGGTTTAAGATCAGCCTGGCCAACGTGGTAAAACCCAGTCTCTACTAAAAATTCAAATATTAGCCAGTCATGGTGATGTGTGCCTGTAATTTCAGCTACTCAGGAGGCTGAGGCAGAAGAAATGGTTGAATCTGGGAGGCAGAGGTTGCTGTGGGCCGAGATCACACCACTGCACTCCAACCTGGGTGACAGAGTGAGACTCTACCTCAAAAAGAAAAAAAAAAATGTTGCTATGACCATTCACTTATAATTCTTTGTGAAAGTTTTCATTTCTCTTGTATTGGAATTGTTGGGTTGTATGGTAAGAATATGTTTAACTCTACAAATACTACCATACTGCTTTTAAAGTGGCTGCATCATCATTCATTCCCACTAGCCATATGTTGAATCCCAGATTGCTCCATATCCCTGCCAACATCTGGTATTAGCAGTCTTTTTCATTGCTGTTCTTTTTTTTTTTTTTTTTTTTTTGAGGTGGAGTCTCGCCCTATCACCCAGGCTGGAGTAAGTGGCATGATCTTGGCTCACGGCAACCTCCACCTCCTAAGTTCAAGTGAGTCTCCTGTTTCAGCCTCCTGAGTAACTGGAATTATAGGTACCCACCACTGCGCCTGGCTAATTTTTGTATTTTCCGTAGGGATGGAGTTTTGCCATGTTGGCCAGGCTGGTCTCGAACTCCTGACAACTGATCCACCTGCCTCGGCCTCCCAAAGTGCTAGGATTACAGGCGTGAACCAGCACGCCCAGCCTGTCAGTCTTTTTAACGTTCGTCTTTCTATGGGTGTGAAATGGTGTATTGTTACGGTTCCTATTTACATTTCTGTAGTGATTCATGATTTTGAGCTTATTTCTCTGCCTTTGCTAGATATTCATATATCTCTAGTGAAGATAGCCAGCCCATCAAGCATCATTCAAGCATGTACTGAATCACTGCTATGTATAGAGTACTATCTAGGTGCTGTGGATTTCATGGAGAATTAAGACCTTCCAGAAGGCAACGTCCATGCTGTCCACTGGTCCTGGGAACATCACTCCTCATGCTGCTAACTATATCCAGGAGCAAGTGAGCTTTGGTGACCTGGACAGAGCCAGATGAAAGGGGCCAGGGCTCATCTCCTAACTGTCAGCCTCACTTCATTTCATACTGCACCTTGCAAGTGGGCTGGCTGGGTGACACTCGGCCGACAGGCCGGGAGAAACCCAGGAGAGAGACAGCCCATGACGGAGGGAGTTTAACGACACTCATCCTAAAGAACCATCCCCTGCTCTGTGGGGAAAACAAGCCCCCAAGGAGTTGTACCCTCAGAGGGATTCCATCCTGGCCGCCTCCGTTTCTAACCCTGCTCCTTGGCCAGAGCGCCGCCAGCCTCCGATCCCTGCCTGGTGAAATCTTCCTGACTCTGGAAACTCCACTCCCCACCTGCAGAAGCTTTTGTGATTTTCCTTCCATTCCCTTTCTCTCAGCACTACACTTCCCAGAGTAGAGGGTCTCCAGTCCAGACTCACAACACCCCAAAGACCTCAGCAGGACAGCTCGCTGTGACGTTTGGAACAGTCCAAGATGACAGTGGACACTGGATCATGCTCTCTCTAGGGCTCCCAAATTCCCATTCTCCTGATTGTCCACATGTGTCCTTATCACACACATACCTGCTTCCTGAGAACAAGCATTAATTCTCAAACAGTTCATCAAACCCCAAAAAGAGAAACAAAACCGTTTCTATACTGCCCTGTCATTTGCAAACATCCCTCACCCAGTGAAACTAACACTTCACATGAACATGGAGAATGCTGTTAGCTCCCTTCATTCCTTCATTCCACCTTTCCCGCCCACCACCCACCCTCCTCCTCAGGCCTCCCTAAAAGTTTTCACAGGAAGGAGCATGGTGAGACTGTGCACTTCTTCACAGCTGTGCCTCATTTCACAGAGGGTGGCCTAAAGCTCTGAAACGATGAAGCCCTTCAACGAGGCTGCAGCAGCCTCCTGGCTCCAGGCGTTGGAGAGATGGCGGTCATCTTCACAGGACGGACAGGTGAGGCCCTCAGGGACGCTGCACCAGGTGCAGGTGATGCTGCTGCGGCAGAGAGCGGTAGTGTCCTCCCAAACTGGAGGAAGCCCCGGCTCGGATGCCTTCTCTGATCTGCCCACCGTGGCCACGCTGGGAGCCAAGATGCTCCTGCAAGGGCGTATCCCTCTCTGAGCTTTGAGCTGGCTGGGGTTGACCTGAGTGGTGGTGGAAGGAGCATTCAGACCTCAAGCGCCCTGCCTTCTGAACACTTGCCGAGAGCAGAGCTCCCCAGCCCCCACCCCAGAAAGTTCCCTCAGGGCAGCATCCTCCACTGGGCCTGATGGCCAGAAACCTGCTTGTCTGACAGTGGTAGGCCTGAGCGGTGGCAGAGGTAGTTGTGGCCTGGAAAACCCTCGTACCCCTGAGGTTCTGCCAAGCACCCTGAGCCAGTGCCACCCAAGGGGGAAGCTGGTTTCTACCTCTCCCCAGCCTGTGGAGAGCAGGAGCCTGTAGGCCAGGCCTTGTGGAGGCCCTGAGGTCCCAGGGCCTAGGGCCTGGCTGCTCTATTTGGAACTGGAGCCATTGGAGACCCTCTAGTCCACCTGGGCATCAGGAGCTCTGAGGGGATCTAGAACGAGGGAGCACAGTCACCCAGTCACACCAAGACCCTGACTGGGGGAGGCGGCCAGGGAGTGGACACGCGTCCCTGGACAGTGTTTGGGGAGCATGGACTCTCTTCCATGCCGTGCACTGCATCTCCCAAGGCCCCAACGCTGCCTGGAGGTGAGTCCTCACCCTCTGCACCAAGGGAGGGAGGACAGGCAGGCATCCTGGGCCCTTGGAAAGCAGGTCTAAGAAGAGGCAGCCAAGGATTCCTGACTCCCAGAAAGAGCCCTGCAACCAGGGCCTCCCAGGGCAGGAAGGTCCAGATGGCAGCCTGAGGCCTCCAGTTCTGAAGGCTCCGACCAGGTAGGAGGAACGACATAGCCTAAATTACCCCTAAGCTTCTCAGAGTCCTCAAAGCATTGGAGGGAAAGGCAGGGAACAAAAAAAAAAAAGTCCTTCATAAAAAAAAAAAAGATAATTGATTAAACAACTATAGAAAATCACAGCAAAGAAAGTGGAACATAAAAGGTGGCAGGAGATGCTTTTGAAATAAACAGCTTCTGAATGAATGATAACCATGGGCCTGACTCACTCCAGGAGAGAAGCCACAAAGCTTCCAGTGTGTCTCCCAGGCCCTGCCTCCCCTCACCAGGAGGCAAACATTCCCAGAGACAAAGGCCTAGAGAGGCTGACTTGCCCCACCCTGAACTCCATTCTACCAAGAACCCAAGATGTGGGTCAGGCTTTGGGAAGGGCTGAGGAGCAGATACCAGGTCAGAGGAGAAGTGCGGAGCTGGGGATGGGCTCGCCAGCCCTAGAGCCACAAGGGAGTGGGGTGCGGGGGTCGAGATGGAGCAAATGCATGTCCACTGGGCAGAGGAAGGGGAACTAGGCCTCAGAAGCCCGGCAGAAACAGATTTCCATCACAAGCAGGAAGCCTTTCCTGTGACTGCTGCATCTATTTCCCCAGCTTTCTAAATCCAGCTCAGATATCCTCAGCCCCCATCACTCAATCTTCATGTCTGCTGTGCAAGCTGGATGGCCCCCTGTGTCCCACAAGCAGTATGTGGGTGCAATACACAGCAAGCAGACCATAGTACTTGGAATGCTCTCCCATGGACAGTCTGAGGGAAAGGTTCACTACCCTCCCTCTTGCAGGCCTTCAGGCCCTTCCAGGAGGGTCCCATGACTTTGAAGAGGCAGGGTCCTGGGTCCTATCATCCCCCAAAGGCCTCTGAGCTACCCATGCCAATTTCCCAACAATCTTTAAGCTCTGCTGGTCAGTAGCCTCTTTTGGGTGAGGAGTGGAAGAGTCTGCCTCCCCAGGCAGCCCAGGACACCCTTCATTTCCCTAGTCAATGCAAAGATGACACCAGGAGGGTAGAGCTGAGGGATCTTACACGCCACAGGCCCCAATCACATCTGAGAAGAGAGACCACCATGGGTAGGAGAGAGGTCTCAAGGGAGCCCCTAATTCTCCTCCTGGCAGATATTCTCCACTCTGAGTTACACAGAGCACATTTTATGACTTTTGTAATTTAGTTTTCTATTTTTACCATGTTCTTTATTTTTTCTTCCCCTTCCCTACGGCTTTACAAAGATATAATTGGCAAATAAAAATTGTACTTTGGGAGGCCAAGGCAGGCAAATCATGAGGTCAGGAGATTGAGACCATCCTAGTCAACATGGTAAAACCCTGTCTCTACTAAAATACAAAAAATTAGCCAGGCGTGATGGTGTGCACCTGTAGTCCCAGCTACTCAGGAGGTGGAGTCAGGGGAATAGCTTGAACCCGGGAGGCGGAAGTTGCAGCGAGCCAAGATTGCGCCACTGCACCCGAACCTGGTGACAGAGCAAGACTCTGTCTCAAAAAATAAATTGTATATATTTGCAGTATACAAAATGATGTTTCGATTACGTATACATTGTGAAATGATTAAAATAAGCAAATTAATATATCCATTTCCTCTCATACTTATCTTTTTTTGCAGCGAGACCATGTAAGATCTCTCAGCAATTTTCAAGTATATAATTAATACATTATTACTAACTGCAGTTACCATGTTCTACATTAATCTCCAGAATTTACTCAGCCTGTCCCCATTTCACACACACACACACACACACACACTCCCAGCCCCCCACCACCATTCTACTCTCTGCTTCTATGAGTTCAACTTTGGATTCCACATATGAATTGAAATCATGCAATACTTGTCTTTCTGAGCCTGGCTCCCTCCCTCCCTCCCTCCCTCCCTCCCTTCCTCACTTCCTCCTCCCTTCCTTCCTTCCCTCCTTCCTTCCCACTCTGTTGCCCAGGCCGGAGTGCAGTAGCATGATCTCAGCTCACTGCAACTTCCACCTCCTGAGTTTAAGCAATTCTCCTGCCTTGGCGTCCCAAGTAGGTTGGATTACAGGTGCCCACCACCATGCCTGGCTAATATTTGTCCTTTTAGTAGAGATGGGGTTTCACCATGTTGACCAGGCTGGTCTTGAACTCCTGACCTCAAGTGATTCACCTGCCTCTCCTTCCCAAAATGCTGGGATTACAGGCGTAAGCCACCGTGCCTGGATGGCTTATTTCATTTAACATAATGTCCTCTATGTTCATCCATCTAAGAAAGTGACAGAGTCTTCTTCTTCAAGGCTGGTCGTATTTCATGGTGTATATATCCCACGTTTTCTGTATTCCATTTATTTGCCAATGGACACTTAGGTTCATACCATGTCTTGACCATTGTGAATAATGCTGCTTTGACCGTGGGAGTGCAATTACCTCTTTGACATACTGACTTTATATCCTTCAGACATCTACCCAGAAGTGGAATTGCTGGATCATAAGGTAGTTGTATTTTTTGGCCAGGCACAGTGGCTCATGCCTATAATCCCCAGCACTTTGGGAGGCCGAGGCAGGTGGATCACTTGAGGTCAGGAGTTTGAGACCAGCCTGGCCAACATGGTGAAACCCTGTCTTTACTAAAAATACAGAAATTAGTTGGGCATGGTGGTGCACGCCTGTAGTCCCAGCTACTTGGGAGGTTGAGGCATGAGAATTGCTTGAACCTGGGAGGCGGAGGTTGCAGTGAGCTGAGATCATGCCACTGCACTCCAGCCTTGGTGACAGAGTGAGACTCGGTCTCAAAAAAATAAATAAATAAGTAAATAAAATAAGGTGGTTCTGTTTGTAGTGTTTTGAGGAGCCTTTATACTGTTTTCAATGATGGCTGCACTAATTCCCATCCCCACCAGCGGTGTACAGGGTTCCGTTTCTCCATTGCCTCACCACCATTGTCACCCTTTGTCTCTTTGATCATAACTTTCTCCCGCATGTGAGATGATCATGCCTTGTGGTTTTAATTTGCCTTTTCCTGGTGATTGGTAATATTGAGCATGTTTTCATATGCCTGTTGGCCATTTATTTGCGCGCCTTCTTTTGAGAAATGTTTCTTCGGGTCCTTTGCCCATTTCTGAATTGGGTTATTGTTCTCTTGCCATGGACTTTGAGTTCTTTATACATTTTGGATATTAACCCTTTATCAGATGTATGGTTTGCAAATATTTTCCCCCATTCTGCTCATCGTCTTTTCGCTCTGCCGATGGCTCCCTTTGCCGTGCAGAAGCTCTTCAGTTTGATGTAATCCCACTTGTCTATTTCTGCTTTTTTTGCCTGTACTTTTGGTGTCATATTAAAAAAATCATTGCCCAGACCACTGTCAGGAAGGTTTTTCCCTATGTTTTCTTCTAGGGTTTTATAATTTGGGGTCTTGAGGTCTGCCATTGAAGTCTTTAATCCATTTTGAGTTGATTTTTGTTTCTGGTGCAAGATGAGGCTCTGGTTCCATTCTTTAGCATGTGGATCCAGTTCTCCCAACACCATTTATTGAAGAAATCATCATCTCCCCATTGTGTGTTCTTGGCATTTTTTTTTCTAAGGCAGGGTCTCACTTGCTCTGCCACCCAGGCTGGAGGGCAATGACATGGTCAGAGCTCACTGTAACCCTGAGCTCCTGGGCTCAGGCAATCTCCTACCTCAGCTCCTGGAGTAGCTGGGACTACAGGCATGTGCCACCATGCTCAGCTAATTTGTTTGTTTGTGAGATGAAGTCTCGCTCTGTTGCCTAGGCTGGAGTGCAGCAGCGCAATCTCGGCTCACTGCAACTTCTGCTTCCTGGGTTCAAGTGATTCTCCTGCCTCAGCCTCCCAAGTAGCTGGGACTATGGGCATGTGCCACCATGCCTGGCTAATTTTTTTGTATTTTTCATGGAGATGGGGTTTCACCATGTTGGCCAGGCTGGTCTCAAACTCCTGACCTCAAATGATCCACCTGCCTTGGCCTCCCAAAGTGCTGGGATTACAAGCGTGAGCCACTGCGCCCAGCCGTCAACTAATTTAAAAAACTTTTTTATAGAGATAGGATGTTGCTATATTGTCTAGGCTGCTCCTGAACTCCTGGACTCAAGCAATCCTCCCACCTCAGCCTCCTAAAGTACCAATATTACAGAGGTGAGCTGCCACGTCTCTTGGCACTTTGGTTGAAGGTCAATTGACGGAGCCCTCCAACCTGAAATATCCCACCTGCCACTCCCTGAAAGCCTGCAGTTGACTCCCCTGACCGCAGGTGTCCTGCTCCAAGCTCTGGCGGTGCTGCCAGGCTTCCCCTGGCCCATGCTTAAACAAGGGCAGGAATCTCCCCAGCTAGCATGCAAGGTCCCGGAAGGCCGGGGCAGGGTCCCGATATCCCCTCAGGGCACCCCACAAATACTGGCTGCATGAACCTGTGGGTGCCTGGAGGAGGAAGTCTTAAAAAAGGAATCGTGGTCTCAGCTATGGTGGCCTTGGCCCCTGTGGCAGGTGCTGTGCCACTCAGGTGCCACTCAGGGCCAAGGCCCACACTGCCCCAGCTGCCAGGAGCAGTGTTCCCTATGGGCTCACAGCCAGGTTCCCTTCTGGGGAGACTTAGCCAAAGGGGCCTACTGTGCCCCCCGCTCCCTACTGGTACCCACCATTCAAGGACTGATGGAGTTGGGGGTGCAAACCCAGTTTCCCAGAGATCTCTACCTAAGAGAGTTGCTCTCAGAAGTGGTCTGAGGAAATGGACCCTAAATTGAGACTTCGGAGCTGAATCACCACTGACCAGCTGAACTGAGCCTCCAGGGTGGGCGTGAGAGACCAGTGTCTCAAAAACAAAGAAACAAACAAATCTAGAATCCCCAGATTCTCCTGAATCATCTGGGCCTGCAGAGGTGGCCCACTGCTCCTGTTAAAGGTCAGCGCCCCTTTCTTGAAGTGTTTTATATAGAGAGAGTGTGTGTGTTATAGTTAGGGGGCAAGGGGGGTGGGAGAGAGAGACCTCTGCCTTGCAAGGCAGCACATGCCTTTTTCAGGATCTATGCCAATATCCCCCTTCTGACACCAGACCAATCACTTCAAATGACAACATCACCTAGCTAAGACATGCTGGCCTGCTGAGGGAGGAAGGGACTCTATTCCGAAGGAACCGCAGGATCTGCCCAGCACGGACCAGCGAGATCCCGGAGGGCACCTCTAGGACTCCTTCCCAAGGGTGCTGGACCCACAGGTGACAGAACGTAAAGACAGAGAAGAGAGAGTTGATGAATGTGGGAGGAGTTTCCATGATGCAAGCTTGTGACCCTGGCTTTGCCCTGGGGAGACAGTCCCAACGTGCCCTTAGAATGGCTCGTGGATGGCTGCAAAGAGCCACGGCCTTCGCTGAGTGAAGGGGAACTGCCAGCGTGACCATGGAAGACGGGGGAATGAGCCTCCTAGAGTACATACGTGCTGTCAGGCCAGCAAACCTACCAGCCGACTGTGTCCCGTGGGAGGGCGCAGAAGTCATCTCATTTACCAAAGCAACAATATTCAGCATGCAATATTGGTTTTTATGGACAAGAGCAGTGGCAAGGTCAGAGTGGTAGCCAGGAGGACCTGATATGCAGAGTTATGAAGCTGGATAATAGAACATAATATTCCTAGTGCCAGGGGGGTGGACAGTCAGAAGGGTGTGGCTGAACTTACGTAACAAAAAGAAATCAAACCTGGATGAGCAGGAGGCCGAGAGTGGCTGCCCCAATGCCGTGCTGCCATCCCTTGCCTGGTTTCAGACCTGGAACTCATGGAAAGGCCGGGTTCCCACACCAGTGCCTACGGTCAAAATCTTCCCCCACAGTCCTTCCCCAGAGAAACCTGAGGTCACTCATTCAAGTAACTGTGCACGGGGAGGGGAATGTGGAAACGTTTCAAGCATGATTGCACACAGAATCCTGGGACATGGCGTATCGTCTTGACTCCCATTAAAGGGAGGTCATATGGGGTCAGGTGATTAACAGAGTCCTGGCCCAGCTTTGGATTTTGGTAGGTCCACTGGGTCCACTGAGCCACATGGTGGTCATTTCCCAAGCCCTCAAATGCATGATAGAAATGGACATACTTGGCACATGAGATAACCCCCGTGTTGGCCAGATATTTGGGATTGTGGAATAAGAGCTATAGATGTGGGAAGGCTGAGTGGGAATCCCTGATACTGCCCGAGCCAAGACAGTGAATAAAACCAGTACTGCATGCTGAAGAGAATTACAGCAATTATAAGGGAAGAATATATTCTACTGTCAAAACCTGAAGGATGCAGGTACACTTGCTCCCCATTATAGAGTCATTTAATTAGTCAAACCCCTACAAAAACCGAATGGATCCTGGAGATTGACAGCGGAATACTGCAAACCCAAACAAATAGGAGCCCCAATAATGGTGTCCTTGCTGGTGCAGGTCAACACAGTCTCAAGTCCATGGTGGGAAGCCAATGCGTTAGTTTCCATCCCTACTAAAGAGGCAAACCAGAAGTCATTTCCATTCATTTAGGATGGAGTAGAGTACACACTAGTTGGGCACGGTGGCTCACGCCTATAATCCCAGAACTGTGGATTTGAGGTGGGCAGATCCCTTGGTCACTTGAGGACATGAGTTTGATACCATCTTGGCCAACATGGTGAAACCTCAACTCTACTAAAAATATGAAAATTAGCTGGGCGTGGTGGCATGAGCCTGTAGTCCCAGCTACGGGAGGCTGAGGCAGGAGAATCACTTGAACCCGAGAGGTGGAGGTTGCAGGGAGCCAAGATCGCGCCACTGCACTCCAACCTGGCAACAGAGTGAGACTCCAAATCAAAAAAAAAAAAAAAAGGAAGGACCACAATGACTGGTTGCCTCTGTGGGTGCTGGAGGCAGCAGGTGCCACACTTGGGAATACTGCATGTTCACAATGACCAGGTGGTGGGAAGTGCTGCCAGCCCTGAGTGAGGCCCAGTGCAGGGAAGAACTCTGCAGCAGGCACAGGCTGTGGTGCTAGCAGCCCAGCAAACTAGGCCGCATGATCTGGAAGATTCTATGGTTCTAGAGGTACCTATGGCGGAAAAGGTGCCATGTTGCTTTAAACCCCTAAGTTTGTGATAATTTCATGGCAAGCCCCAGTAGGAGAATCACAACCTGGATCCTGGGCGTTCTGGAGCAAGGCCATGCTATCTGCAGCAAAGGAAGACAGCTGCTGCTGTGCCTCTGCACCCTAGCAGAGCAGGAGACACCACGCGGTGACCACGCCTCTCGAGCTGCCTGCCTTGAGCCAGGCCCTGCCAGGGCCTCCAGGGCAAACGTCAGGCATGCTCAGCAGACATCTGCGGTAAGATGAAAGGGTACACCAGGATGGGGCCTGTGCAGGGCCGGAGCCACTGATAAACTGCACCAGACCCTCCTAGCATCTGCCTCTGTTGTGCCGCTGGGGGTCCCTCACCTCCATTACTGCTGTGTTGGGTGGTGTGATGTCACCTATGACCACCTAATGTAGGAAGAAATAGGCCGAGCTTGCTTCACGCGTGGGTTGGCTCAGTATGGGGTGCAAAAATTGCCTAAAAATAGATAGCTGCTACACTGCAGCCCCACTCAGGGGTCTCCCTGAAAGGCAGTGCTGAGAGACAGCCTCTGCCAGTCTCCCCATGGGCAGAAACATGCTGTGTTAGTTCACCGTTGCTGCTGTAACCAATCTCCAAAAACTTGGGAGTTTAAAACAACACAAATGGACTATCTTACAATCCTGGAGGTCGGCTCTGAAACTGGGTCTTAGTGGGCTGAGGTCCAGGTGTTGTCAGGGCTGCATTCCTTCTGGAGGCTCTCGGGGTAGGAAAGAATCCATTTCCTTTCCTTTTTCAGCCTCTAGAAGCTACCTGCATTCCCTGCTCATGCACCCTTTCCAGAAGCCTCATCATTTTAACAACTGCTTCTATCTATAGCCACGCCTTCTTCTCAGACTTTGGCCCTCTTGGCTCCCTCTTTCACTTTTTTTTTTTTTTTTTAAAGAGAGAATCTCACTCTGTCACCCAGGCTGGGGTGCAATGGCCCAATCGCAGCTCACTGCAACCTCCACCTCCCAGGTTCAAGTGATTCTCCTACCTTAGCCTCCAGAGCAGCTTGGATTACAGGCACCCGCCACCACGCCTGGCTAATTTTTTTTGTATATTTGATAGAGACGGGGTTTCACCATGTTGGTCAAGCTGGTCTTGAACTCCCGACCTCACGTGGTCCACCTGCTTCGGCCTCCCAAAGTGCTGGGATTACAGGTGTGAGCCACCACACCCGGCCTCCATCTTTCACTTATAAAGACATTTATGATTACATTGGGCCACCCAGATAATCTAGAATAATCTTCCCATCTCAAGATCCTCAATTTAATGACATCTGCAAAGTCCCTTTTGCCATGTACCAAAACAGATGTACAGGTTCCAGACATGGGCATGTTTGGGGGCCACTGTTTGCCCACCACACTTAGGCAGTACACACAGCTACCCATTTTGTGTGGAAAGAGAAGTGGCTTGGCATAAGAATATGTTCAGACCCACGGACGGCAGCAAAAGACTTGGCTGTTGCTGCTCTGGGCCTGAAGAATTCAAAGGTTGGGGACCAGGAGTCTAGTGGAAGGGTCATGCGTGCAACTGGAACCATGGGCATGGGCATGCGTGTAAAGGTCCCAGGCTAACCCCCACCAGAGAGTACCACGACGAGAAGGCGCCCAGCAGCCGTGTAGGAAGATGGTTTGACCAGTCGGAGCCAGCCTGCTCTGTCATTGGCCATTCAGTTAGTAGCAGTGGTGGCAGGGAGGCAGGATGGTGTGGGCCCAGCGGCACGGCCTGCAGCTCAGCAAGCCTGATCCAGTTCCAGCAATTGCTGAGTATCTAGCCAGACAGCAACAGACGCCAAAGATGAGCACCCAGTACAGTGCCACCTGGAGACTCAACTGGCCACTAGGTGGAAGGTTGATTACACTGGACTTGAAGTCAGTTATATTGCCCTAAAGGTGAGGCAGTGATTCATTTTGACTGACCCAAGACATACTTCAAATGTGGATTTGTCCTTCCTGCTCTTATAAACACTATCAGGAGGTTTGGAGAATGTTTGATCGATGGATATTGAATACCACATAACATTGCTTTGGACCAAAAAGACTCACTTTACAGCAAAGAAGCTATGGTGTTGGGCACATGACCGTGGGTCCCCGGGCCCATTCCTCCCCATGCCATGCAGATGCTGCCAATAGGAGTGAGTGATGGAGTGGTCCTCTTGTAGGTCTACTGAGGTACCTACCAGCTGGGAGAAAATGCCCTTTGAAGATGGAATTCCATCCTTCAAGACACAGAATATACCCTAAGTCAGCGACCATCAGAAATTGCTGTCTCCAGCTGAGAAAATGCGTGGGTCTGGGAACCCAGGAGCAGAAATAGGAACAGCCCCGTAACCATGACCTCCAGGGATCCAATTAGAGAATCTGAACTTCTTGTCCCCTCCGTGTTGGGCTTTGCAGGTCTAGAGGCCTGTTCCCCAGAGGGGGAACACTGCCACCACGGGACACGATACAGGGTCCAGTGGACAAGAAGCTATGGCTGTCACTGGTCACTTCAGGCTCTGTGCCAAAAGACCAGCAGGCAAGAAAAGGAGTCTGTGTCCCAGCAGGGGTGACTGGCTCTGATCCTCAGTAGTAGGAGGGGCTGCTGGAACGGGGATGGAGGAGAATCACCCTGGCACACAGCTGGCTTCTGGGGCATCATTTGGTACACTTCTGCCCGGTTTTGGTGGGGAATGGACAAACACAGCAGTTGCAGCCTCAAGAGGGTGAAGCGGCTGGGATGAGGGGCTGCATCCTCCTGCCAGGCGGGTGGCCAAGCCCAGCAGAGGTGCCGGCAGAGGGGGTGGGGAATCCAGGCTGAGCAGTAGACGACAAAAATCAGCTGTGGTCATCCCCCAGCCTTCCTCCTACCTAACCCAGCAAAGAGACAAACCAGACTCAGTCCTGGGAAGGGACACTTCAGAGAGGGTCCTGGAAATTTTCCAGGAAGAAAGGAGGGGGCAGCTCACTGGAGAGCCTTGGCGGAGCTTCCTTCCCACCTGCTAAGACTTCTCCACTTCTCTAACACACAAACCCGGCTCAGCTGGTCCCCTGTACAAACCCAACAAAGGCTCGGCGGCTGCAAAAAGGTTGTTACTGAAAATGGGTCACTCTTTTGATGCCAGTGAAAGATGCTGGTCCCTGCTGGTAGCGCGCGCGCGCACACGCACACACACACACACACACACACACACAGGGCCATGCAGCTGTTGGCACAGAACTGTCAGGGCTAGACATGGCTTTTCTGGGCATCACGGGCCTTGGCCTCCCCTCCAATGCCCTGGAGGGGCAATTCCCAGTAGGAGAAGCCCCACCCACAGGTCAGCTTGAGCCCTCTGGAGACAGCAAAGGCAGCAAAGGCCTCAGGCAGCACTCTGTTGGCCGACATAAGATGTCCTAAAGGAAAGTTGATCTCTGGAGTTGCATAAATATGGCCTGAAACCTTTATATCCTGAATATTAGGGAGAGGGAGGAGAAGTGGAGAGAAAAGAGTAAGAAAAACCAGAACAAGCCTCGGATGGAGGAGTGGGAAATGATTCTTACTTTGAGTGAGTCCTGAACTGCCTTGGGGAGACGCCCTAAACCTCAGCCCAAGGTGACAGGACTTAATTCCTAGAACTAAAAAGGCCTCCACCATCCCAGTCATGGGATGCCATCACAGTGCGGGAGAGGGACAGCTGTGTGATGAGTTTGGAGTTTTAGAGTACTCAGGCGTCCCGAGCGGGAGTGTGGAGAGGACGAGGAAGAACGGGAATTGGGAACTGGAGTGGGAGTCCCCGTGAGACCCAAGTCCTTGGTCTCAGACGCTAGCAGAAAGTGAATGCTGGGGACAGGGGAAGTGTTTTCTCACCTGTGTGGGCCAGGACTCTAGTGAGGCCAGCACAGACGGACGTGCTGGTTGCAGGACTCAGTGTCTGCACCGGATGTCACACAGGGCCAGGCCCCGTCTTCATCGATGGGAGACCATGAGCTCCAGTAGGGCAGCCCCACCTTCAAACCGGGGCGCCTCCGGGCATCAGAGGGAGCGAATGTGTTCTCTTTCCAGGGTCCACAAGGGGGCGTAGTTTTAAGGGCAAGAACTTCCCAGCACCATATTTTCTCCCCCTCCCATCCGTCTTCATCCAGGAGATTTAACAGTTTATGTTTAAACTTCCAGGGCACGGGAAGAAACTAAGAGTCATTCACTTCAGCGGAAGTTCTGAGGACCTCCTTTCATTGGCCTGGGTCTTAGAGAAGGTGGGGGTTCCTCCCAGGTTAAAAGTCCCCTTCTTCCACATCCCTTTGGACACCACGTTTGGGTCCCCTTCCACGAACACTCCCCTCGTGGAAGCCATCTTTCTCTCTCCTGGATCTCCCCTCTGGGGTCCCCTTCCTCAGTCTCGTGGAAGCCTGTCTTCCCTCCTAAACTCCATCTCTCTCCTTTCCCTTCCACTCAGTGTGGAAGCTGCTTTCCTCTCCGGGATTCCATCTTTCTGGATTCTCTCACTCAGTGTAAGAGTTAGCTGTTCCTTCTCCTGTTTCTCTCTCTCTTTAAATAAATCACTTTCTACAAACATGTTTGAGTCCGGCATTTACTGCGCACTGTGCTGTGGTGCCCTCTCTCATTCTTGAGAGGGCAGGAGACCAGGAGCCTGGAGAAATGTCCTCTCAGGGGAGCTGAGGGCACCCTGAACCCCTGAACCCCAATATAACAAGAGGAGGAAGAGCCCAAACTGCCTCAGCAAGCGCTTGACACAGAGGGCAGCAGTGGCCTGGCTGGGGGCGACATCCAGAGTCCTGAGCCCCAAGGGATCCGAGAAGAGCCTCACTGCAGTGTCCCCACGTCACAGATGCATGGCCTTTAAGCAGACACTCCTAGAAAGTGGTGGTTGCTGTTTTTAATCCAAGTGAGAGAGAGCTCGGGAATCTGCGTGAGCAAAGCAGGAAGACCGCGTGGAGAGCTGAGAAAATGAGGAAGACGCTCTCCTCCTTCCACCCCGACAGAAACAGATGCTTCTGCATCTCCCTTCGGGGGCCTTCCATTGGCACATTCTTTTCTAGGAAAGGCATGTGTTTTGCTTTGTCTTTTAGCAATATTGCCGCCTCTGCCTTCTTTTGCTTCCCAGCTATGCCCATGCCCATTATTTTATGTTTCACCGTTCTGAAGCATTTTTGTGCTGGTTTGACTGCAAAGCCCTCAAATATTGAATCTCAATCCCATCTGAGTGCTCGCGGCTCCTATTTTAGCTATTTGTTGCCCTCCCAGTGATGCCTGCTCTGTATCTGCCGAGTTGCTTTCTGTGGTTTATTTGTTTTCATCATTGAATTTTTTCTCTATAGATAGCTTTCTTTGTTTATGATCTCTGCAGAGGTTTGGATGATAAACATAAGCTTGGCAAACCTCCAGGAACAGTTGTTCAAAATAGCATGAAACTCATATTGAATTACTGAAGACAAAGACTGGGAATGAATAGAAGTCAAATAAAAATAACTTCACAATACAAGAAATTCAATGCTTTTGCTTTTTGCTGCTCAGGTTCGCCATCTCTATTAACAAAGCAAGCCATTTTAAGCTGATGCAAAACATCCTGTTCAAAATAAGTTTCTTATTTTATATTTAACATCCTATAGCATTTAAAACCATATTTATGTTTTCTAATTATAAAATGCTTAATATAGGCCAGGCACGGTGGCTCACGCCTGTAATCCCAGTACTTTGGGAGGCTGAGGCAGGCGGATTACAAGGTCAGGAGCTCCAGACCATCCTGGCTAACACAGAGAAACCCTGTCTCTACTAAAAATACAAAAAATTAGCCAGGCGTGATGGCAGGCGCCTGTAGTCCCAGCTACTTGGGAGGCTGGGGCAGAATTGCCTGGGAGGTGGAGGTTGCACTGAGCTGAGATTGCACCACTGCACTCCAGCCTGGGTGACAGAGCGAGACTCCATCTCAAAAATAATAGTAATAAAAACAATGCTTATTGTAATATATGAATGTATATTACATAGAATTTATAACATATAAATTATTGTAAATGCTTATTATAGAATATATGAAAGATACTGAAAAACATAAAGAGGAAAATGAATGTCACCGGTATTCTGCCACCCAGAGGAAAGCACTTTAAAGGTTTGGGCATTCCTTCAGGATTTTCTTCCAGGTATACAGTGACGTGAACACACACCCCTAAAAACGTATCTGTTGGCCGGGTGTGGTGGTTCACGCCTGTAATCCAAGCACTTTGGAGGCCAAGGCAGGCGGATCACCTGAGGTCGGGAGTTCAAGACCAGCCTGACCAACATGGTGAAACCCCGTCTTAAAAAAAAAATTAAAAATTAAAAAATAATAAAAAAAGTATCTGTTAATTCATGTGCCTCCTCTATAAGATAAGTTCATATTTTTAAAAACAAATTGCCAGCCGGGCGCGGTGGCTCACGCCTGTAATCCCAGCACTTTGCGAGGCCAAGGCGGGCAGATCACAAGGTCAGGAGATTGAGACCATCCTGGCTAACACAGTGAAACTCCGTCTCTATTAAAAATACAAAAAAATTAGCTGGGTGTGGTGGTGGGTTCCTGTAGTCCCAGCTACTCAGGTGGCTGGGGCAAGAGAATCGCTTGAACCCAGGGAGGCAGAGGCCACAGTGAGCTGAGACTCCTGCCTGGGCGACAGAGCAAGACTCCATCTCATAATAAATAAGTAGACAAATTGCAAATCTTGGTTTCTCAGGCCAACATGTGGCACAAAAATCACCACAGTCTCAGGCCCAGGAAGTCCATGGCTGACAACGCTCAGCCTCCCTGCATCCAGGAAGCCCTTCCGAGACTTCCCGGGACCTCCTTTTGGCTTGTGACCCCAAGACTTGGAATAAGTTGGGGACTAAAATGCTGAGGTCAGCCGGGACTTCTGGCTCTCCTCACTAAGACAGAACCTGCATCCTCCACTGGAACCCCAAGGATTTCCGTCAGTCATACGTGGGAGAGCTACACGCCCTACCCAGGCCCCAACTCCGCAGACAATAGCCTCCTTTGTCTTGATGGTAGATCTAAAGGCCAGGCAGAGGAGGAGTGGCTTAACACAGAAAGGCCAGTCCCCACCACAAACAATGTCTCAATAGCAATGATTACAAACCCAAAATTCTCATTTTTGTGGCTGGCCTCCAACATGAACTGACTTACAGCAAACTCCGCATATAAGAAGGCATCAGTCTTAATAACCTTGAGAAAAACATCTTTTTTTTTGTTGTTTTTTGGGACAGAGTTTCGCTCTTGTTACCCAGGCTGGAGTGCAATGGCGCGATCTCGGCTCACCGCAACTTCCGCCTCCTGGGTTCAGGCAATTCTCCTGCCTCAGCCTCCTGAGTAGCTGGGATTACAGGCACGCGTCACCATGCCCAGCTGATTTTTTGTATTTTTAGTAGAGACGGGGTTTCACCGTGTTGACCAGGATGGTCTCGATCTCTTGACCTCGTGATCCACCCGCCTCGGCCTCCCAAAGTGCTGGGATTACAGGCTTGAGCCACCGCGCCCGGCCCAAGAGAAACATCTTACAATGAGCACTTTATTGAGATTATTTGGTAAGAACAGCCACTTTTGAAATCTTCTAACAAAGAGTTTAGAAAAATCGTCTTCAGGATGTCGAACTTTGGGAGGTCAATTTCTCCACATAACTGGGCAGATCCGAACTCTATTTTCTAAGGAATTGCTTAGGTTGGCCATGTTGGCCTGAACCCAGGGTAAGCAGGGTGGGCTTCTTCTCCCTGTGCATGTGGCCTTGTGGCATCATCACTTTCACAGGGTGTCATTGGTGGTACCTTGAAATTGGCCACATGGGAGTATCTACATCACAGAAATAGATAAATGCTACCTATTTTTTCTTTCTTTCTTTTTTTTCCCCAAAGAGCCAATTGTTAAACATTAACTAGCACACCACTGGCATCAGCCCAACAAATGATTGGAATCAGTTCCTGGTGTCCTTGCCAAAGCACTGAGTTCTAAGTCACAGATGACTGCCCTGTGCCCATGACTCTTTCTCCAGCCACCGAGCTAGCGATGTGCTCCTCCTCCACCACACTTGGAAGAACCAGTGTCACCTGTGTTCCTTCAGATCCTGCCAGCACATGTTAGCTCTGCAATTCCTTTGGAAAACAGGACAGTTCTGACCAGAGCTGAGCTTACACCTCTCTGCTCTAGCAGTGGTGAAGCCTGATCCTGGATGTAGGCCTGGCATCAAGGAGCAGTGGTGAGGGCAGGTCTTGAGAGCAAACACCTTGCAGGACACCTGCCACAGGTGATGTATTCTTGAGAACAACCTGTTCTCTGGTAAGGAGAAAACGATTGCTTCTGCTGGCTTAGAGGCTTCTGAGAACTTGGGGGTTTGAGATTCTCAGTTTATCTCTCAACTGTCCATAGCCATGTCTCAGGACCATTCGCTAGCTGGCTCCTGACTGATGGAGCAGGCCTGTCAAGGCTGTGACTTTAGTCTTCTTTGTAGATTTCAACCCTTATCAGATTTGAGGTCTTATTTTCTTCCTTTCTTTTTTTTTTTTTTTTCTTTTTTGAGACAGAGTCTTGCTCTATCGCCCAGGCTGGAGTGCAGTGGCATGATCTCAGCTCTCTGCAATCTCTGCCTCGCCAGTTCAAGCGATTCTCCTACCTCAGCCTCCTGAGTAGCTAGAATTACAGGCATGTACCACCACACCCAGCTAGTTTTTGAATTTTTAGTAGAGACAAAGATTTTACTATGTTAGCCAGGCTGGCCTCAAAATCCTGACCTCAAGTGATCTGCCCTCATCGCCCTTCCAAAGTGCTGGGATTACAGACAGGAGCCCTGTGCCAGGTCTCAAGCTGTGAAGTCTGATTTTCTTTTTCTTTTCCTTCCTTCCTTCTTTCTTTGCTTTCTTTTTTTTTTTTTTGATATGTAGTCTCTCTCTGTCACCCAGGCTGGAATGCAGTGTCACGATCTCCACTCACTGCAACCTCTACCTTCCAGGTTCAAGAGATTCTCCTGCCTCAGCCTCCCGAGTACCTGGGATTACAGGCACATGCCACCACCCCTGGCTAATTTTTGTATTTTTAGTAGAGACGAGGTTTTACCATGTTGGCCAGGCTGATCTCAAACTCCTGACCTCAGGTGATCCACCCGCCTTGGCCTCCCAAAGTGCTGGGATTACAGGCGTGAGCCACTGGGCCCAGCTCATCTTCAACAGTGATTTCTCCTACCCAGTGGCTGTATGAGACATAAATCTCCTGAGCTGCCAAAAAGGCCCTCGGGCTTTCAAAGTCTGTCTTAGGCTGGCAATGAACTCTCCCGAGCCCAGCATTCCTTTCTTCCAGGTGTTCAGCTCGTAAGAAAGCATCACCCTTCTGCAAAATCATTGTCATTATCATTGCCTCCCACTCAGGAGGCACCACCCAATGCCTTGCTCTCCAGCTGCACCCACCATAACTGACCACAGGCGAAAACTCTAATAATCATAACACAACTGTGTGATGAACGATCACCAGTCAGCAAACCTTTTCCGCAAAAGTACAGATAGTAATTCAGGCTTTGTGGGCCGTGTGAGATCTCTGCAGCATGTTCTCTGACTTTCCCCCCTCCCTTTCCCTTTAGCCTACAAGCCATGCAAGAACAGGCCATAGTTTGCTGAGCCCTGGTCATTACAATCTCATTACCAGAGGCATGGAGACCCTATGACTCTGAGACAGGAGGGAAGATCGATTCCAAAGGGAAGCCTTGAGTGAGGATCTGCTTTGTCAAACCATTTTCAGTGTCCAATGTCTTAGTTTAGGTTCCCTAGAAAACAGAGCTAGGGAATAGACTTAAGAACAAAAGCTTTATTGGAAGGTACAATTCCAGGACAGGGAGCATGGAGAAAAAAGGAAGAAAAGGCAGGGTGAGAGATCCCCATGCTGGCCCCTGCCTCCTGATGAGCTGCACGAGTACAGCCAGACACTCAGCATGTCCCATGCAGCCCGTGAATGTCAGTACACTGACCCGGTAGAAAACCATGCCTTGGATTTTGGCCCAACAGAGGGCAAAGGGTAAGGGAATTATCCACTGGCTCTCTCCTGCCTCCTGCCTCCCACTGAAAGGTTTTGGGAAGAGCCCTGGCAGCACCTATGACAGTGACCTTTCTTGGGCCAGCAGTGACAGCCGCCCAGGCTCCTGTGTCTAGCAAGCCCCGGACTAACAGGGCCCCCTTCCAGCATATGTGGTCCAGAGCACACAGTCTGCCAGTCCCCCGAGGGAGCTTGGGGAACAGGGTCCCATTCCTCACCTTCCTGTGGTTTGAAGGACTCAAACAGGGTGAAGCACGCAGGGTGGACCCTAGAGTTACAAGAGTGTTCTTTAGGAATCCCAGTTCAATTGCGTCTTCATCTCATCCCATCTTCATCTCATGAGTTCCTTCTCAGAGGATTCAGAGATTCTGCTGGGTAGACCAGGAGGTGAGAATGGAAGTCTCTGGTCTCAGGCTCTCTGCCTAGGGGACTCCTGGCCCCAGGCTGTGCTCCTCCTCCTGATAGCTTCTCCAGTTTTCACACCATTCTTCCAACACCTTCTCCCCGCAATCCCTTTCCTCCCAAGAGTCCCTTTCCTTTGTCATTTCTCCTGGTGTGCTCACTGTCCTTGGTTTACGGTTTGGCCAGCCGCTGGTTTAGGGTTTGGCCAGCCGCCGTGGCGCCCAGAGTGAAAGTGTGGGATGGTGCGGAGGGAAGTCTGTGTGGGCCGTGCAGCCTCAGGTCCTCCCTGCTCTTTGCTCCTCATTCCCATCTCAAGCACTTTTGGGCATTCTTTATTTCTGACTCTTCTTTTGAGGCCAGGTACACACCAGCCTGGAAAAACTGCTCCGGCCTGGCAGTGCCCGGAGGAACGAAGCTGAAGATGTCGCCCACGAGGAGGGCCCTGCCTGCCATGAACCACTCAGCACTTCCTGAG